AATGCAGATTAGTTGAAGTAAAATCTTTTTGAAGTTCTGGTATGCTATTTTCCATGTGAGCCATCATAATATTCGTGAATTACTACAATTAAAGTTTTTTTCTCATGTGTCATCAACTAATAGGCTTTTACTGGAAGTCTGTAACATACTTACGATCTTTCATGGTTGTGTGGGGTTTGGTAATGTTTGGTTGCAGTGTTTCTTTTTTCTCTTTGTACTATCACTTTGTGAAATAGTTATTGATTTAATGATTATCTTTTAGTAAATTATTGAAAATTTTCATGAAAGATGATTATTTTGATGGAGTTGCACATAATTATGATAGGATTATTAAAATATATATTATATATATGTAGTATATTATATGTGTGTGTGTGTAATATATATGCATAATATATATTATATTCATTTTCAATAAAGATTAATAAAGTTAGATCGTGATGTTATCTATCGATTTTTAAATGTTTTATATCGGATTGTACGCAGAGAAGATGATACTTGGAGGATACCGAGGATGATGATACATATAGTCTCTTCTTTTTTATCGATTTGATGCAATTCCTAAGGATTTGAACTATTAAAATTTCTTTTATTTCTCTTGTTATTAAGATATAGTTACACTCATAAATGCGTTGTAATTCATTTATTTTTTTTTGTTCCTAACTCATAAATGCATTGTAATTCATTTGTTTACTATTTTTTTGTTGACTTTGTTCTGAATTGGGTTTATTTGGCTAGTAAATTTGGTTTATGAATGAATTAACCTTGCATTCTGGGTCAGGCGCTTGGTGTGACACCAAATTAAGAATTGGGCCTGACTCTGATATCAACTGTAACTAAATTCCAAAGAATCATGTCATTTACTAATCTTTCCAATCATTCACTGGATATTGACCCAGTTTTGTACGCCACATGATAAATGAATTTACTTTTCTAGCTTCAATCATTTGAACATATTTACTACTAAAAGGTTTAACTATTTTACTAAACTGAGCTTTAAATTTTAAGTTATATTGATTAGCTATAATTTTATTTATTTATTTTTAAATTGCTTCATTTAAATATATTGTTATAACTTTTTTTTTTAAAAAAATAATTAATTACACTCACACCCCCTGAAGTTTACTATAATGACAGCCATATATAAGTTAGTCTCTTTTTGAACAATGACACCCCCTCAGATTTGATAAAATGAACAACGACACCCGCCACCTCTGACACAAGCAAAAAAAGACCTTATTGCCCTTTGACTTTTGAATTAAACTATTTAAATTATAAAATTACCTATTTAAATAACTATGATGGACCAATTTAGCCCTTACACCCACTAGCCATACGGCCTATACCACAACATCAGATGGCTCAGAGAGTGCATCACGATTAAAAAAAATTTCACTCTCCTTTCCCTTTCTTCCCCTCTATCTATGTTCTTTCATTTTTCTCAAACTACCAAGTCTACCAGTATACCGCCACCGCCCACACCCACACTCACCACTTCTTACCACCACCTCTTCCTCTCTCTATTTCTTTTCTCTCTCTATATATAAATATAAGCATCCAATTGCAATCAATTCAAACATATAATGCCCAAACTGAGACAAACTATTCTCCTCTAAGGACATCTCAACCTCCGATACAAGATCCCCGTTGGTGGCGCCTTCACCTTCTTCTTTACCCATGATGCCTATTACATATATATATATATATATATATATATATATATATAATATGACGATCCCAATTGTTGACATCACATACACATACACATATGCATATTACCCTAGTTGCCGTAGACGTCGAAATCGCATCACGGTTCTGCCATTGCCGAAGCCCAATCCAATATCACTGGTCATCACCTTCGCCGAAACCCAAGAATGACTTATAGAAGTTCCAAATGAACCAATCTTCTTTCATCCCGATCGATCTCATCAACTGTGAATGCTTTCATCAAATTCTTCAAGCTAAAGGTTGTGGGTGTCTCAACCGCCATCTATTTTGCCACAGCCAGCGGTGGCATAGGTGGCAAAAATTCTTAAATTGGGTTGGGGTGTTGGCAATTTTTGGATTGGGGGTTTTTGGAGGCGTGTTTGGTCCAGAAAAAGAAGTGTTCAATATGGAGGTGGAAAGAAGTGGTGGAGAGAGAGAGAGAGAGAGAAGAGAGGTGGCGACGATGGTGTGGGTGGTTCGGTGGGTTTTTTTTTTTGGGGGGGGGGGGGGGGGGGGGGAAGTTAGGTTCAGTGGTTTGGGGGTAGACAAAACTGAGGAAAAAAAGTAATGAGCGGCGGCAACGGCAATGGTGAGTGGTGGTGCCAATATATGTGGTTATTCGTCCTCACACTAAATGGCCATTTGGTCTTTTAAGAGTTTTGATTTTTTACCATTAAAAGCAATAAAATATTAATGGGCAATCTTGACTTTTCATATTTTTTTAGGGACTATTTGGATTGAATTTCTGATAGGGGGTATCTTTGTTCAAAAAAAGGCCTAACTTATATTTGGCTGTCATTACAGCAAACCTCAGGGGTGTCATTATAATTAATCCAAAAAAAAAAAAAAAGTATAGGCTATAATAGCAAATATAATGGTGTCTATAAATGTCGCCAAGTAGCCAAATTTTTTTTTCCTTTTTAACTGCAAATAAAATTGCTACTAGAGGGTAGAGACTATAATTGTTGTAGTGGCCGCACTTAGTGGGCTCAATTTAGGACCAGTAGAATTAAACAAATATTTAATTAGTATTTTGATTGATTTTAAAATGAAAAAAATAGAAAATAGACATTTAATATTACCGAAAAATTATGATTTTTTTTGAATAATTAGTATTAACCTTTATAGGTCAGGTTTCACCTACGAAGCTTGGTTTAATTTAATTAGTGTTCGTTTACATTCTCTATCTATATGTATTTGTGATTTGAATGTGGCTGATTTAGTTGAAGAGTTGGGTTACTGGTTCATAGCTTCTCTTTGATTTGCCTGCTCCTCTACGTAGCGGATCAAATTCTTTTAATGGTATATGAAGGGCACAATTATATAATTAAAGCACAAATTCTGAGGAATTGAACCTAACTTGATAAACATCTTAATTGAGAAAAAAATAGTAATAAACATCTTAAAACTTTAAAAGGAACTATCCACATCATCCAGTCATTTTATTTTCTTTAATAATCATTCATTTATGTCATCTCCAATTCATCTAATTTATACAAAATATATTGAAAAAAGCTTTAGAGAGAAGTGTGTGACTATGAGCCAACTTTAAAATTAAATATTTGGTCAAAACTCCGCAACAATTCTAGGATTGGGAGTTAAATGTTGGCCCGTTTCTTTTAAATTTGACCAATATTCAAAGGAGTTTGACAATTTAATTGTTCGGGGTAATTTATGAGAAGCTTGGAATTTACCTAGCTTGGAACTGAATGTGTGTGTGTCAGTGCGTGATGTGAGGATAAAAAGGCTATAACTTGAAAATTAAAGGAAATGTAAAAAATTTCAAAGGTTACTCTACTTCAGGACCATCCTAAGTGATCAGAATTTTTCGTCGCCTTGTCACTATCTTTTACCGCGTCCTCTAGACCGAGCTTCATCACAATCACCCTACTTCTTACTAGCTAGAGTATCATCACTGAAAAGTTAACACGAATACCCACCATTAAACGGATAATTTAGTCGTTAATTGCAATTATTTGTTTTGTTCATTGGACTGGGCTTGTCCCTTATTTGCCCTTCATTGGTATTTCTTTTGTCATAGTGTACTGGGCTATCTGATCAAAGGCACATTATATAATTACCACTCATTTATGTCAGTTGCTTAACCTTTCAGAAAAAAAAAAAATTGTAACTAAAAATTTTCATTAAAGAAATAAATATCGATTTTTTTTTTCTCTCAATTTATTTTAATGCATAAATTTTATAAAAAAAAATACAAAGATAATGAATTGGAGCTTTAGAATTTTCAAATTAAAAAAACCAAAGCTTAAGAGAGAGAGAGAGAGAGAGAGAGAGAGAGCGCAGAAAATTTGGTCATTGAGAATAGAAAATTAGGAGAGAGATAAATTATATTGGGTGGTCCAGTGACGGTCTATGCTTATTATATACATGGCTTAGCAGCGAATTTAAAAAAAAAACAAAATGACGAATTATGACCAAAACAAAAAAAAAAAAAATTCCGGGTTTCTCAGGTGAGAGCCTAGTATTATGACCAACTAGACTACAACAGATTTGTTTTCTTTTTTTATGATAAACTAAATCAATATGTATATCACATTTGACATTTTAAAATAAACTTGAACAACTAGGCAAAGTTTAATATTAGAAAATCACTAAACAAAAATAAGAAAAAGTTACAAAAGTATCTATTATCTCTTTTCTAATTCTAAATAGGTAAGATTATGTTAAGTTTAAGAATAACTATTTATTATCTCTTTTTTAATTTTAAATATGTATGATACTATGAGTTTAAGAATAATTGAATTATGAATAATTAGGAATGTGATTTTTTATTGTAAAATTATGCTATTTGAATACAAGTACACATGTTTCTATTATGAGAATGCTAATGTGATTATGTGACTATAAGTTGAAAGATTAAGATTTATATCATTCTTGTGCAATAAAAATACTAATATATATATATATATATATATATTCAATAAATAGAAAAAGAATTTCATGAATAGAATTTTATCACTGTAACTCAAAAAAAAAAAAAAAAATTCAACAAAATAATGTGTTCATGCTTTTAACAGTATATTAATCATCCACAACATAAAGTTATTCATAAGAAATTCTCTTTTTTTCCTTGTAGACGTTACACTTCGTTTGGATACACAGGAAAGAAAAGAAAGAAAAGGATTATGAGAGGATAACTATAATTTATATTCATGTTTGGATAAATAGGAGAAAAAATGAAGGAATCGGTAATATTGTTGTTTGGAAATGATAATAATGAAATTACCATTTTACCCTTTTTGGTAGGGTTAGTTGGGCAAAATCATTTCAGCCCTCATCTCTCTATTCTCGCTCTCTCTCTCTCCAACTGCAATCTACAAAAATCATAATATCAAAACCCATGTCGGCAAAATCATTTCAGCCTCCCTAATCGCCACATCTCTCTCTCTCCAAATCCAACTGAAATCTACAAATTCTACAAAAATCAGAATATCAAAACACATATCGGCAAAATCATTTCAGCCTCTCTAATCGCCTCATCTCTCTATTCTCGTTCTCTCATTCTCTCGTTCCTTCTTCGAGCAATCAGCTTTTCAGTGCAGTGCTGGGATTCGAATTGGGTTTAAGAAAATCAGTTCAATTCTAACCTTTGTTTCTGAATTCCATTAGTTAATGAATCATGCTTGATCTATGTTGATGCATGCATGAAGGTATTTTTTTTTTGTGGATGATGATGATGTTGCCGAGAGTTTTTTTGTTTCTAAAACTGTTTTCAAGTGTCAATTTGATGTGAATTTGATTATTTGGGCATTAAATTGTTATTGTTCTTGGGTTTTGAATTCCTCTATATTGATAGGGGTATGGAGTTCTCTTGATTGTGACTCTTTATTTTCATCTGCTATTGATTTAATTGTTCATAAATTTGTGGTTTTTATTTACGTTCTCAGGGTTGTGATGCTTCAGTTCTAGATGACAGCAATGATAATAAGAGGTACTCCATCGAAAAGAATGCAATTCCGAACCTAAAACTCAAGGGGTTTAATTATGTCAACATGATAAAGCAGGAGTTGGAAAATGTTTGCCCAGGAGTGGTTTCTTGTTCTGATACACTAATTCTGGCCACCAGAGATGGTCTTGTTATGGTTTTATTTATTTATTTTTTTCATAAAGTTTTTCTGCAACTTCCGGCGACTTCAACCTCCCCCCCCCCCTCTCTCTCTCTCTCTGCAACTGTAATCAAAACCCATATCCGGCTGTCTCTCAACTTTCTTGCCCCTTGGTGTAATTTGCTCCCTTTCTCTCAAACGAGCCCTTAGAGAATTCCCATGCTGGGATTCAAATCCAACTACCTCCATAAACGTTTATATTCATCTTCAGCGTCTTATGTAGTCAAGTACCTTAACTGTCGGATCAACTTCTTCCTCTCCAACCAATTCACTGACCTGCAATCTCTCCTCCGATCACACGCTTACATTATCACAACTGGTCACACAAATAACATTTTCATAGCATCAAAGCTCATCTCTCTCTATGCTTCTTTCAGTAAACCCAACTTGTCAACTCAAGTATTTGATTCAGTTTATTTCAGAGATACTTTCCTTTGGAACTCTGTAATCAAAGCTTATTTCTCCAATGGAGAGTACCCACAAGCTCTTCAACTATATCTCCGAATGCGGTTATCTGATACCCAACCTAACCATTTCACCATTCCAATGGTTGCTGCAGCCTGTGCGGAGCTTTCATCGTTAAATTATGGCATGACCATACATGGGTTGGTTTCAAAACTTGGACTTGTTGCAGGAAATTCAGCAATTGGGTCTTCGTTTGTGTATATGTATTCGAAGTGTGGTTGTATGGAGGATGCATCTCTTGTGTTCGATGAAATTTTTGTAAGGGATGTGGTTGCTTGGACAGCACTTGTAATTGGGTATGTGCAGAATGACGAGAGTGAGAAGGGGTTAGAGTGTCTTTGTGAGATGCACAAGGTTGGTGGGGATAGTGAGAGGCCGAATTTTAGAACATTGGAAGGTGGGTTTCAAGCTTGTGGGAATTTGGGGGCTTCGCTGGAAGGTAGGTGCTTACATGGTTTAGCAGTAAAAATTGGAATTGGGTGTTCTCATGCCATTCAGTCTTCGCTATTGTCAATGTATTCCAAGTGTGGTAACCATGAGGAAGCTTATCTTTCGTTTTGTGATGTTTTCAACAAGGATCTTATCTCATGGACATCAATCATTGGTGTTTTTGCAAAATTTGGGTTTCTCACCAAATGTTTAGGCATGTTTATGGAAATGCAGGCTGCTGGCATATATCCGGATGGAATTGTTATCAGTTGTGTAATTTCGGGTTTTTGTAATTCTATGAGGATCTCTGAAGGAAAAGCCTTCTATGGTTTAATCATAAAGAAAAATTATGTAGTAGATCAGATGGTCCGTAATGCATTGTTGTCAATGTACTGTAAGTTTGGACTTCTAGCTTTTGCCAAGAAGCTCTTTGATAGAGTACACGATCGGGACACAGAGTCTTGGAACATAATGGTGTCTGGTTATGGTAAGATCGGGCCAAGAGCCAAATGTGTAGAATTGTTTAGTGAAATGCAACATCTAGGCATTGAATCCGATTCAAACAGTTTGGTATCTGTGATTTCTTCATGTTCCCAATTAGAAGCATTCCATCTAGGTCGATGTCTTCATTGCTATGCGATTAAAAGTCTTATGTATGAGAATGTTTCAGTTGCCAATTCACTCATAGACATGTATGGTAAGAGTGGGAAATTAACCATTGCATGGAAAATATTTTGTGGGACACAAAAGGATACTGTCACGTGGAACACTTTGATCTCTTCTTATACTCATAGTGGGCATTCTGCCGAGGCTTTAGCCTTATTTGATGAAATGGTTTTGAAAGGCTTCAAGCCTAATTCAGCAACATTGGTGACAGTGCTCTCTGGTTGTTCTCATATTGCATCTCTGGAGAAAGGAGAACAGGTTCACAATTACATCAAGGAAGGGGGATTTCAGTTTAATTTATCTCTTGAAACTGCATTAGTTGATATGTATGCAAAATGCGGGCAGCTCAAAAAAGCAAGAGAAATATTTTACTCAATGATAGAAAAAGATGTTATTTCTTGGAATGTGATGATCTCTGGTTATGGATTGCATGGAGATGCAGAATCTGCGATAGAGATTTTCCAGCAGATGTTGCAATCAAATGTTAGACCAAATGAGCTCACCTTTCTTGCTGTTCTCTCAGCTTGTATGCATGTGGGGCTTGTTGAAGAAGGAAAGTGGCTGTTTGATAGAATGGGTGATTTTTCTGTGAGACCCACATTGAAGCACTACACTTGTATGGTTGATCTTCTTAGTCGGTCAGGTAATCTGCATGAGGCTGAAGCTTTGGTTCTCTCGATGCCCATGGACCCTGATGGGGGTTTGTGGGGTGCTTTGTTAAGTGCTTGCAAAATTCACCACAATAGTGAGATGGGAATAAGGATTGCGAAGCATGCTATTGCCTCCAACCCAGGAAATGATGGCTATTATATAACGCTTTCCAACTTATACACCTCTACAGGGAGGTGGGAGGAGGCAGAGCATGTGAAAATAATCATGAAGGAAAAAGGAGTGAGAAAGAGAGCTGGTTGGAGTGCAGTATAATTCATAGGGAATAGCCATATGCTCTTTGGTGTACGAAAGGTACCAACCTTGATATCATAAAATATGCAAAAAAGTGCTAAACTCCATGCTATAGCCAATGTGCATATCTGCAGATGGTTTTGATGCCTTCGGTGCCATTATCTCTGGGTCCTGAAATTCACTACAAGTCTCCACTGGTAAAGAAAATGCCAAACCAGCAGTTTCACTACCTTGGTTGCAGGAAATCTTATTCATCATGGAATTCTGACCCTTATTTTTTTTGCATTAGCTCAGCATTGATAACATTCTTGCTGATGTATGATGTGGAGAAAGTTGTCCCCCTTGTTTTAGGTCAGATTCCTACTGCAGTTCAAGCAGATGTTTACTTTAAATCCTGATTGTTGATTACACATTAATAAAATGATAAGAGTAACTGACCTTTTGCTGTCTGAACTCGATTAGCGAGCACGGAATGGAGGTTTGACATTGTTGCATGCTGTCTGAACAGGTACTGAGCTGCATGCACAGGCAAGATCATAGAATGAATACACGTTAGTTTACACGTTCTAAGTCTTATATTCTCCTTTAGTCTTCATTATAAAGCATGTAATGGCGGTTTGACATTGTAAATATATGATTAAATGATCTTTGTTCAAATTCCAGCTCAAATTAATCATTTAGATTGTTTAGTATACTTCATGGGAAAAGCCTTTGTTTATAATAGGATGCCTTTAAATATAGTGATGGGTTAGATCTTTTGAGTTAAGCCTTATTTGGATAAAATATTACTTGAGATTTACACATGCATAAATGTTATGAGTAGAGCTATTTGATTGTATCTCATTATACTCCGATATATATAACTCATCTACTTAGATGATAACAAAAACGCTTTAGAAACAAGTTCCACACAGATGGGTTAGCCACCACTTTGCCTTTTAGTTAAAATAAGTACTATTTCATTAATTTTAAAAGTGACACATTCCTAAAATGATAAAATGATGACTTCTGTAGGTGTATGGTTCAAGCACTGTCACATGGAAAGACATACTACCTGGGGTATGGGCACTGCTCTCATTGTGAAGAATGGCGACACTGCAGAGACAAGTATGCGTGAGCCCTATCCTTACATGCCATTGTGTACAGTGCCCCTAGCCTCCAAACTCCAGGCATCAAAATTTTCAGGAGAAATATGAGAATAGAAGAGAGGTTTTGAAAAATATGAGCCTGATTTAGCCTTTCTAATTACAGCTTACAAGAGGGGGTTGCATGTATTCCTACCATCACTTTGTAATAAAATGGGTAGGTTGTAATGATGCATGTCTAAAATTATATTAGGATCCACAGACTAAGGTCAATCCCCAGGTAAAAATCAAGGATAAGAGTGAAACATAAGAGCCCTGAACAATTTGCCAGAGCCTCAAACCAACTCGGACACCTTGTTGGAGGCTAGTTTCAAATTGTTAATTGCCCTAATTTCTAATATCTATTTCACCCAAAATGGAATTTCATCTCAATTCTCTAAAATTTTGCTAAATTTTTTTTTTTTGGTAGTTCCGTTTGTTTCAATGTAAAAATTGTCAGAAAATGTCATCAACAATTTTAGGTTTGGTTCATTGTAAAGCTTTTACACAAACTTTCAAGAAAATGAAAGTATGTTACAGAACCAGAAAATAAGAAAGAAAATGGTTATTTTGCATTTTCTAAGAATTGTTAAGTTCATTTTCAAAGTTACAACCTAGCACCGGAAAATAAGAAAGAAAATGGTTTCTTTTTGGTCATCTAAAAAAATTTATATGAAAAGTACTTTCTGATGTAAAACATTTTACGCTGAAAAAAATGAAGGGTAAAAATGAAGGGTAATAGTTTGATAGAATATATGAACGAGGTAGTTCACAAAAAAAGCAAGTCATTAAATAAATTAAGTGTTCTTCATTTAGGCTCAAGTCTGTCTGTACTAGTCTTTGATGTCAAAAGCCTGATCACATAATACAAGTTGAAGTATACATTTTTGTCCAACTAAACGGTACTGATGTTTTAATATGAGATATGAAAGACTGGTATTACAAGCAAGAACCTAGGGTTAATCAAGTTCGTTACAATTCAAGTTTATTTGTACTTTTAAACTTCTTTGCAATATGGACCAAAAAAGAGAGAACCTTGAAACAGTTGGAGGCTATAAGTTTTCATTTTTTGGTAAACAAAAGAGCTTCATATCATAGACAAGAAAGGAAAGACAACTCAGTTATAAACCTTTTATAACAATAGATTAAGTCTACAAGGAACACTAGCTGAAGATTAACTGTAGAGTCTGTAGACCCATGCGAGCGGCACAAGGGGGGAAGTTAGTGGGGGGGGGGGGGGGGTGGGGTGGGAAGAATAAAAATCATACTAACAGCAAAAATAGTACAAACACTTTTTAACTTTTTACTATTTTTTCCTTTGATAACAATAAGAATTCAATAATATTGCTTCTCCATGTTTGCTGCTTCCAGCATTGCTTTTTGTCACTTTTTAATAACTTAAAATTTATCTTATTTGTTGATAAATATAAGCAACGACGGATTCCTAAGAATACCTATACCAAATCTAGTAAGAGTTTATGTTTCACATATTACAAGTTGTTTGTGATAGAACAGAAATGAAGACTTGGCAAAAGATAATGGAAAGAACAAGCATATTGAGAGTATTCACCAGTAGCAGGGTTTTTCAATTTCAGGGGAGAACAGTAAATACTTCCACATCATTCATTCCAGGGCCTCTCACTGAGTATTGGAATGTCCATCCATGACATGCACCGGCATGCACACCATTCTTATTAACCGCAAAAACAGCTCCCACAAATTCTGGATATTTTCTTGCAATTCGTGATATCGCTTCCTTGGCAGCAAGCTTGGGTTCCAATCCTAACCTCATACTTTCCACGACTTGATAACTGGAATAAAAAATATTGCACAAGGTTTAAATTTGAATAAAATGTTAGACAAAAGAGGCAACTTGAGCTGTTTGTTCGCAGTTGTTGATTTCTCCTACCATTTAATCTGATGTGCATCAGCTGTAAATTAACCAAGCAGCCATGTGAAGTTAGACACCAGGGCTGCTAAAAAGGAGAATGGTCATCAACTAGGAAAAAAAAAAAGGAGAGAATAATCATCTCACTTGCTAAGCAGACACCCCAATCCAGCCTATTTCTGGCAAGACACATTAAGACCCATGCCATGCGAGCAGGCCCAACACTATTATAACTGTGCTGTAATGACGTTGGTAGCTAGGGTAATTAAAGAGCCCATACTTGGATAACTACACTCAATTGCAGGTTAAGACAGCTTGTCTGATAAACCTTTGATGTGTGTGTGTGTGTGTGTGTGTGTGTGTGTGTGTGTTTATAGAATATACAAGTATATTACTCCCTCTGTCCCATAATAGATGGGTACTTTGGGAGCTGTGACTCACAATTATGGGACGGAGGGAGTAATATTCAACCTACATATACTGTACAAGTTAATAGACGAAACATATTTGCAAGTTCTTTCCCCCCTTATTGGCAATTGATAATTTTGGGCTACGAATTTGGGGCTGTGACCTGGTCCTGTAAAGCATAGACTTCTAGGGAGATCTTATTGCCTATGTGCTACATCCTGAGCAAACATATTCAAAAGCCCTACACAATTGAGAAAAAGAGACCAGGAACACCTATAAAAAAACAAAGAAAAAAGACCAGGAACAACTTGTTTCCACTTTACCATACTACAAGTAGGAAAGTTAATTTCATAAAACATAAGGACATTTTTTCTATTTGTCAATGAATGGTGAAAATTTGACTTAGACACATCTCAAAGTTCCGATATATGACTTATTAAGTAATAAAAAATAAAATAAAAAATCTGACACGTGTATTATCAACACAACAAATCCAGCAGTCTGATGACATATTGATCATCCAAAATTTTATCTTGATATGTACTAGAATCAACGTTTAAGGTGGAACAAAAATTCAAGGGTTTCAGTTGACTACCATGGAAGGAAGCGCATCATGATATCACCATCACCAGTTGCACCACATGCTCCAACTTCATCATCGGCATATGCAGAAGATCCAGCAATAGGTCCATCACCGACCCTAAACTTACGCAAAAGATTTTTTTTCATCAAATTATGATATATAAATGTTTGTATAGACTAACCAAAAATAAATAAATAAACATACAGATAAACCACAGTTTCCTACCAAGTAAAAAAACACTTCTTTTTAGCCCTTTTATTGCGTAAAAACTTTGTGCTAGGCCTTTCATTGAGTATAATTTTTTTGCTAGGACTTATTACTAAAATACTTAAAGGATTTGGAGCACATTTGGACATCCCCATAAAATTGAATAGCCTCGTTCACTTTTTAAAGAGTATTTCAATTTAGAAATACTGGGGACACTGAGGATAGCAGGTAAGCTCACCAGATTACTTCCTTGATATATGATTATCCCAGGGTTTCCTTGACATAACTCGGATCTCATAGAATCATTGATATGGAAGCCATTTTCTTAAATGGCTACATTCAAGATGATATATTTACATAGGAATACTACGTAAAATGTGAATCTGACAATTCATGTTCAATGACATGTCCAAACAGGCCCTTTGTCGATCCAGGAGCTCCCATATTTTGTAAGTAAGTTTTGAATATAATAAATTCTTTAAAAAGCAACCAATATACAGGATTTGTGGTTCATGAGCCTAAACATAAAATCTTCCCCTTTCTTAATTTGAATAGATGCCTAGTTCCCAATTTAACTACTCCATATTGTTAAAAACATTCATTTTGCAGCCAGAACCCATGGACCAAAAATCTACAGGGAGTGCTTCACCATAAACAACATTTTATGATCGTCAGATGCTTACAAGTGACAACAAGAGGTAGTGCCCATACTGTAGTTACATCAAGTGAAACATCATGTCATTTAGTGTATATATGGAAGTATACACCCCAATTTTATTTATGTTATGTATTTATTAATCCAAAACTTTCACCTTCTTGGCGATGTATAGAGGGAGGCGAATCAAATCCAATACCTCAGACTTGTCGAGTTATGTACTTAATGAATGATTCCTTCTTTGGGTTTTTTCATTCATTCTTACATAGAGATGTCCGTCCACTAAAAAATTAATAAATAAATCGGTTGTTATCTGTCCCACTATTTGTCTCAATACCGCCTTTCCTTTTCCATTATTCCATTTTTTCCTCATTCACCACTCCCTTTCTTTACCGCATCCTTTTTCGACTTCCTTGATGCCCACCTCCTTCTACAAGTCTCAAAATACTTAAATAGTCGTAAAACAAGATAAGGCAAAAATAAAAAAAAAGAAGGCAAAAAAGCATTGTAGAAACAACGAGACCTTAGAAAAGGAAGATGACTGGGTATATTAGCTGAACACTTGAATGGTAAGTAACCTATCAACTTCTATATAGATTAAGATTTCAGTTTATTTATATTTTTCTAGAATTATACTTGTTTTTCTTACTTAATCTTTAGTCTAGCCCTATTAAGATTTTTATTATCTTTCTAGCTTGCTTTTTCCTTTTCCAGAAATGCAAAAGCTTACAAGAATAAATATATTAAAGCATTAAAGACTAATTATTGAAGATTTAATGGAGGAATCAGCGGAGGAAAATCCTCGAGTAATTGACGTAGTTTCCTATTGTTGAAGATTTGCTGTTATTAGAGGAATAGTGGAGAAAAATCCTCCTTGTTTCCTATTTTCTGTTTCTTTCCATTCTCATTAGTTCTTCCCCTATATAGAGGAGCCTCCATCATTGTTTTGTGAATGAGTTGAGAGATTATAATAAAAGTGATGTAGCCCTTTGGGCTCTTTGTGCCGTGGATGTAGGCCCTAGTGCCTGAACCACATAATATCATATCTTAGTGTTTTTCTCGTTTAATTTCTCATCACATATGTTTTATACTTTACAACACTAATATTCCCATTGTTCCATGTTTTTAGATTGCTTTGCTGTAACCAATCCAAATTAAGGATTTTCATTCCATAGCAGTTATGGCATTTTGGGAAACATATTTGCATCAATGACATATCAGTTTTGTGTTTTAATTGTGAATCCATGACATATCATGTTTTTTCCATAGACATATAAGCAAATAAGAAATGCAATTTTTACATAATTAGATTCGTAGGTGAATTTGTTAGTGATTTCATTATGAAGTCTACGAAGAGTTGATGGAAATAGACTTCATGAAAGTTTGTGAAAGTGATCATCATGGATGTATCAATTGTCTTTAACTCATGACAAGAGCTTTGTGAACCACTAACATTTGGTCACACGAGGTTAGTTTGTGATTTTGGTTATTATTGGAGGTATTACTGTAATTTTATATATAGAAGGATACTTCCTTAGCTGTCAAATACTTGCCAGCTTATATCATTGTCATCTGGTTGTCTAGCAGTTGTTATACCGCTGTCGCCTACTTCTATTACTTATCTACCAATAAGATAACATCTTCAGTCATTTTCCCTATAGGGTTTTAACTTCTCTTTCAAAATGGACAAAATGAATGGAGGAAGTGAAGAAAAATTTAATAGCCATTAGTACTTTTGTGTGATGAAGATACCACAAACATACTTGTGTTTGTGCAGTGAGATGCCATACATCTTACAATGAGATTCCAAAATACCCAGCAACAAGAAGAGACATACTTTCTGTTTCACGCCATGAGTTTCCATCAGTGTTTTATGGTTGTAATTAACAAAACTCTAAAAGAAGAACGATTCTTCTTGTTGTAGCAAGGTAACATGCCTTAACCAATGTTTCCCCTTTCTTTCATTCCTTTTGTATCAGGGCCATTCTACCCTAATTCACTAGTAGCATAGTGGTTCACATTCCGATCATGTGATAAGTCAAGTGCTAAACCACAGTCGCAGAAAAATAATTTAATAAACTCAAGAATTCTCTCTTGAATCAACCCATATATGACCACCAACATTAAAAATTATAAGATCAGAAGGTGGCTTTCTTTGCATGGTCAGCTGCGCTTGGAAGTATCCTCACTCTCGACAACCTTAGAAGAAGACGCCAGGTTGTAGTGAACTGGTGTTGCATGTGTGAGAAGTTGGGAGAATCTGTGAACCACCTTCTGATTCATTGCCTTATCGTGAGGGACATTTGGGCTATGTTCTTGGCTGCCATTGGTGTGGATCGGGTGTTCCCTGAGTCCGCGGTTGATTTGGTTGAGGCTTGGAAAGGGTGTATAGTGGAGAGCCAAGTCAGAGATGTTAGAGGGCCACTCCCCTCTGTCTTTGGTGGGGCTTGTGGCGCGAGAGAAATTGGAGATCCTTTGAAGGGGAGGAGTCTCCTATTTGGTCTCTCAAATACGATATTTTGTCGTCTTTATTCTTTTGGGTTAATGGGCGAAATTGTATATACTTGGATAGTCTTTTGGATTTGTTGATAGTTTAAAGATGTAATGTCGTTGGTAGCGGCTTTTTGTTCTCTTGGGAGAACTCCCCTTTTGAGTGCCTTTAATGAATTTTACTTATAAAACAAACATATCATCATCCTTGCCTTTATTCCATATGGTCATACGGATGGGGTCAGCCACAAGAATTCTCTTTTTCCATTTTTTCCTATTATTATTTTTCCATGTGTTTGTGTAATGAGGAGACTGTTGATCACCTCCTGTTACATTGCAGCATGGCCAGAGATTGTTGGGATCTGATGCTTCGTTTATTTGGGGTCCACTGGGCCATGCCCTTTTCCTTTAGAGGGTTGATTGAGGCTTGGAGAGGCGTCTCTGTTGGGGCTGGCATTAGGGATGCTTGGAGGACTACGCTGCTTTGTATCTGGTGGTGCATTTGGCTTGAGAGAAATATGAGATATTTTGATGGGAAAAAGAAGTCTGTTTCTATGCTTAAGTTTTTTGTTATTTCTACTCTTTTTTGTTGAGTTTCAGGGAGAGATTATAGATCTATGGAGGAAATTATTGTTTTTTTGGCCTCTCTGAAGGTTTAAGGAGCCCTTTGGCCCTTTTGTTCCTTTTGTTCCGTTGGGTTTCGCTCCCCTTTTTAGAGCGTTTTTTATAAAATCTTACGTATAAAAAAAAAGAAAAGTAAAAGTCGATTAGAAAAGCGCTCAAAAGGGTAACGCGTCCCTAATACAAAAAGCGAAAATTGAACCTAAGGACCAATAGAGTCCAAAAGATCAACTAAGTCATCAGTCGAGGAGCAAGCGCTTCCTTTCACATAACAGAAAATAGAACGAAGAATATGAATTTTCAAGGTCGCCAAAGATGATTCATTTCCTTCAAAATTTCTGCTATTCCTCTCTCTCCATATGCACCACCAAACACAGTGTGGAACTATCCTCCAATAGTCAAGAGCGTGACTTTTCACTTGGCATATTCTCCACGCGTTAATCAGTCCTATGGAGGTCTGAGGCATTACCCAATGAACGCCAAAAATGCAGAAGATGAGGTTCCAACAATCGTACGCCACAGGACAGTGTATAAGAATGTGATCCACAGACTCACCATCTATTTTACATAGACAGCACCAATTAACAATAATGTTACCTCATTCTCAAATTATCCAACGTTAAAATCTTGCCCGAGACGGCAGTCCAAACAAAGAATGCGACTCTAAGTGGAGCCTTAGAACGCCATATAGTCTTCCACGGGAAATCGTGACCAACGAAATTGGACAAACACAAGAACATGGACCGAACACCGAATCTACCATGGGTGGAAGGGACCCACAAAATATCATCATTACCTCTGCCCAAATCCAAAAAAACACATGCCTCTTCTATCTCCCAATCCTGAAAAGAACGCCTAAAACGCACGTCCCACGTAACCCCATTTTTTCCATTTTTTCCTATTATATACCATGTCTTCTCCTAGATTTAATTTTTTTAGATCATTCTTTATTAATTCTTCCCATGTAAGTTTTGGTCAGCTTCGCTTACCTTCTAGGTAAACAACTCTTCCTCTTCTAACCATCGCATCATCAGGTCTACGTTGAATACGATCATACTACCTAAGTCAACTTTCTCTAATTTTATCATTTATAGGCACTATACCTAGTGTTCCCCTCACACATTGATTATTAATCTTATTACTTCTAGTTACTCATATCATTAAATGTAACATCCTCATTTCCACTACATTAATGTGTTGTTCTTGTGTCTTTTCCAACACACAGTACTCTACTCCATATAATATATTGCTCTAATAACAGTTCTATAGAATTTTCCTTTTAATTTATTTGGTATTTGTTAGTCACAAAGGATACAACTAGCTTGCCTCCATTTTGTCCACCCCACTCCAATCCTACCTTTCTAGATAACTATCTATCTCTCCATCTTTTTGTACTATTGATCGTACATAATAAAAAATAATAATAATAAAAATAAATAAATAAAAATTGTTTTGAGTAACTCTTTGGTCTTGAATTGTAATATTTATAGTCATCGTTTGCTACATTATCAAATTTACATTCCATATATTCTATCTTAGTTTTACTAATTTTTAAGCCTCTTTCCTCTAATGTCTTCCTCCATATTTCTAGTTTTGTTGCTAAGCCTTGCTTAGAAGTATCTATTAAAACTATGTCAACCGTAGATAACATACACCATGGAATATTTTGTTGACGATCTTTTGTTATTTTGTCTAACACTATCGCAAATAGGTATGGACTTAACACCGATACTTGGTGCAGTCCCACTTTTATAGGGAACTCACTAGTTTCTCCGCAAGTAGTATGGACTATGGACTCTAGTCATCCTCTCACTATACATATCCGTAATAAAATTATAAGTTTTACAGATACATTGTATCCCGCAGAAACCAGAAACTTAAATCATGAGAGTAGAATGGTTTTCATGTTCAATGCTGCTTACCAAAATCTACAATTTAATTAGACATCAATGCAATTCAATCAATTGTAGTTTAACCATGAGAAATTTACCAACCATGCATCACATATAAAATTTCCCTATTCCAATTATCTTTATGTCTGGAAAGTCTACAGAAAAGGAAGAAGTAAATTTGTAGTTTATTTACTTATGCTATTCTACAACCACATTCAATTCTTTTTTACCACCCACGCATTTCAAGGTATATCAAGAATAATAATAAGTATGATGATGACAACAACATTAATATAGATAGAAGATGTGTTTTGGGTGTTCAATAAATTTTAGTAAAATAATTTCTACAATTAGAGGCCTTATACTAAATACTACCTTTACCTGCCAGGAATCTTAAAAGTGGCCCCGTTAGTTGATGTACCAACAGCAATGTGTCCCATCTGAAAATAAAATCAAATATCGCCTAGAAACGAATACATTCAAAGGAATTCAGTAAATTCAAAGAAAATCTGTAGTGACACTGACTTACTTTATCAAAAACAGCCATGGATATCGTGTCATGATTGTGGAGACCTGCATGAGATGATTTAGATACAATAGTTCCAACCAGACTGTCCATCAAGTATGTCCTCCCACCGAGATCCGCTTTATCCTTTGGATGATAAGGACCACAACTATCAATATGTAGAACATTTTTCCTAAAATTAGGTTGGCAGCGATTCTCTTTCCATTTAATCCACTTCCTCATTGATTCTGTTGAACTGAGGTTTGTGGGTCCTGGAAGACCCATTGAAATAGCAAAGGACGAGGCTTTCTCTCCAACAAGCATGGTGTGTTCAGTATGTTGCATCACTAATCTTGCAGCTCTGATGCCATCTGTCACATACCTCATGGCAGCAACAGCTCCAACTTCCATGGTTGCCTACACATGCCATAGCAAACCCAAGGATAGATAGTCATTTAAAATGTATGCTCTTTGATATAGATATTCCAACAAAACTTATTAATAAGGAGCCACAGTGCTCACATAAGAAACAAGCACACGGTGGTTACCCCATTCATAACCATAGCATCAATTGTAGTTTCTCCGTTCTCATCTGGACTTCCACCAGGTCCAACTGTCCACGCAAAAATGATATCAAAATTATAGGAACCAATAGTGACTACAAATATGAAAGTGCTTGCAACACATCTTCCGGAAAACTACATGATCATCAATAAGGCAATAAGACGAAGTATTAAGAAATGAGTGTATTTCAATTGCTGCCTAGTTTACTTTTTACAATATACAACTAGATAAAACTTTCATATAAGATTCTAAATCATGTCCCTGTTATTAATAACTCAGAGCACCTTCAACTTTTAAGAAATTTTCCTAAAAAAAGCAAAACCACGAGCTTTTAGGTTCACGTTGAAAGAAAAGTATTCAGCTGGACTTCCGCTGGACTCGGCTTAATTGCAGCTAAAACTTCCTTACCTTCTGAATTCTGAATGAGAGATTCCTCCCTTCCATCAGTTTATCTGATGAATTGTGCTGAAATTAGCACAAGTTTTTCAAAAATGACTATTTTACGCTTAATGGAAATGGTAAAAGTAAGAAATACTGTTATACTGGCAATAAAAAGGAAAAGAATTTCCCATTATATATTTATGAAGAATTGAATAAAAAATTTAAATTTAAAAAATAAAAAATAAAAAGTGGATGACTCTCAACTAGGGGTGGCAAAATGAGTCATGACCCACCAACCCGCCCACTTTAAAATGGATATGGGTGAACCATTTTAAAATATGGGTCAAAATTGGTGACCCATATTCAACCCATTTTTATAGAGGGTTAAATGGGTTGAATACGGGTCACCCATTTTGGCCCATATTTCATTTATGATATAAGAGACCCAGTTGCACAACCTCTATTTGACTCAAATTCACCTCTTCCTTTCTAAAATTCTCTCACACGATCCCAAATTATCTCTCTAAGATTCTCTTTGTATCATGGACTCCTCGTGTATGTAACACTACAGCTCGAAAGAAACCTATGTTTACATTTGTATTTCAAAGTAGGTCGACCTGATTTATTCATTTAATTATTTATTCTATAAAAAGCTTAACAAATGATTTCATATAATATACACACACACACACATACATAATATCTTACCTTCATGCATGTGTAATCACAAAAAAAAAAAAATTAAATTTAAAGAATTTTCAAAATAAATTAGGATTTACAATTATCCATACATATTTTTACAAGCTTTTATCCATATAAAATAAAAAACTATAATAATGAGATTATCTAAAATAATAACTTTTTTTTTTCTTTCCTAAAATGGGTTGGCAGGTCATGATGGGTTGACTCGGCTCATTTTCACTCAACCCATATTTAACCCGTTACAAGCGGGTTGAATATGGGTCACAACCCATATTTAACCCGCCCAAATTTGACCCTGCCCAAACCTGATCCAACACGTCCGTTTGCCACCCCTACTCTCAACGTTGAAATTTAAGATGCCATTTTCCCTCACTTCTTCACCATCTGTAACACCACCACCACCACCAGAATCTGATTTTACCACCATATGATCTCACAAGATTCTAACTTTTCCTACTAAAACCATCTTAACACTTTCTCATATCCTGTCTCTGAAATATTTCACATCTATCCATCCATTTCACTCCATGGAGAAGATTGTAGATGTTTTGGACTCCTTGAGAATTTAGAGGCCCTATTTGGCCTTGTGTAGCTTTTGAGGGATGCGTTCCCCTTTTGAATGCCTAATGCAAATGTTACTTATCCAAAAACAAAAAAGGAATTATATCTCATTGGGATGTTTAAGAATTAAATATTGCTAACTACCATCTACTCCAAAAGCTTAAGCTGTTAGAGAGGGTGCAACTTTAATATTTAAATCCTCCAACATGCCCCCTCATGTGTGGCCTTCTTTTAGTCCAACACGTGTTTCAATTTTTTTATCAAGGTGACGGTAATGTTTGAACTCAAAACCTTTGACTCTGATACCATGTTAATTACCATCTATTCTGTTGTTAGAGAGGGTGCAACTTTAATAGTTAAATCCTTCAGCAAATATAATTCAACATCTCTGAGTATTGTTGACCTCCTAATGTAGGACGAAAAAAGCTCGATACCAACTTATGTCGGACAAGAAAAGAAGGGGATTAGGAGACGATAAAAAGCAAATGAGAAAATCGGAGAATATGAGATGAGAAGAGGGGGGCGGGGGGGGGGGGGGGGGGGGGGGGAGCGCAAGAAAAAGACAAAGAGAGAGAGAAAGAATGTGGAAGATAAATAGCATGAGAAGGTGCAAGAATAGAGGTGAGAAATATAATGGAGAGTAGATCTAGAAAGTCATAATAATTCTCAATTCAGATAGTAAGGCATGAGAAGAACAAAACTACAGGTGAGAAAAATAATGGAGGAAAGTGATTTGAGAATATCACAATAGTTCTCAATTCAGGTCTGTGAAATTATATTACATGAGGCCCTTAGGCCTTTTATAGGCAAGACACTAAAAAATTCAAGGGGGAAATCCCTAAAAATAAAAATAAAAAATAGCCCTAGCCTAATTTGCCATTGGCCTGCCACACATCAGCCAGCTCTCACCAGTTTCATTCATGTATTTAGACGCCAATAAAAAGAGTAACTGCCCTCACTTTCTAGAAGTACGATTGAAATTCTCTCCTGATGTCTTTCAGCAGCTGTAAGTAATATCCCCTCCCCCTCCCTATTTTCCCCTAAAGGTTGCCTCAGCTTTCCTATAAGCTCAATGTCCTTAAACATCCACTCCAATACTTTGAACTTCAACGAACCTCACTCCTTTTACTCAGGATATTACATGAGACAAGTATACAAGGAAATTTGAAGGCATCATGAAGATGATATGTTCATTCCTTGACCATAAATATGCTAGTATAAACTTATCAATATATATATATATATATATATATATATATATATATATGCTAGTATACATTTTATTTCTTGCTTTCTTCCTTCTTCTTTTTTCTTTTTTTTTTTTGGTAGGTAAACGTGCTAGTGTACACCAACCATTGTTTCATAATAATATAACTAAACATCATATTATGTTTTAATTAGTTTATCTATAATATATAGTTTAACATTTATAAAAAAAATAATAACAATAATTTAATAAAAAAATTACATTTTCATCTTTTGAGGACGAAATCAGATATGAGATTGAATCATGAAAAAATAATTATAAGATTTAAAATAATAATAAAAACCGCACGCTGGCACAAGAATTACTTCCAATCATTTGTTTGACCAATAAGATAATAACAAAAGGTGCTACCCAAAACAAAAGGATATATATTTTAAACATAATTTGAAGAGGGAAGAAGACAAAATGCTTCAGGGAGTTGAAAATAACTAAAACTCATGAATTACTCAGCATCACTAGATCATGTAGAATCCTCATTTTATTTTTGTTGAGTATTTCTTAACCTTTTATATATATATATATATTTACTTATCAAAAAAAAAATTTAGAAAGCTAAAGAAATTTTGGAGTAAAATCCAAATTGATAGTTTTTAAAGGATATAAAGTTGAAGAGAGAAATTAAATATACAGAACACAAGAATATAACGTGATTCGGCCACTACGGCCTTCACCGCGACACACAAAGCCTAAAGGGCTACATCACTTATATTGTATTCTCTCTTAATGTTGTTTACAATGAGCACCTCTATTTATAGGTGAAAGAATACAAGTGATAAATATGCAGAATACATTGATGGAGAATTCTTAAAATCAATCCCATAAATCACTCCAATCAATATTCTATCAGAGGCTAAAATCACTCCTATGACATTCTCCCAACAATAGTCTAACAGAACATTTTGTGATACTTTTCCCCTGGTTGATTAAAAGTTTGATGATTTGTAGAGTTTTTGTGTAAAACCTCAAAGTTTTATTGCTAATTTGTACCATTTATAAAGAGACTTCAAATTTCTATATCTCCAATATATCAAGACTTCAACATTCAATATCTCCAATACCAATGTAAATATCTTTGTATTATAGAACATTGATATGATAGTCAAGATTGACCTTTTAATTGTTCTCAATTGGTTCATAAGAAATGCAGATTCAATTTAAAATGTCCAAGCAGTAAAATGCATTTGTAATGGAGATACCACATTGACATTATCAATCTCAATGAATTAGCGAACACCTTAGATTAGATTCTATAAACTTTGCTTAACTGGATTATTAGTCAAACATTTGCAAAGTCAGTGTGCTAACTTCTCTTTAAAACCAAATCATTATGCATTGTAGAACTCAGACATCACTGTCACAAAATCTTCACACTCCCAAACACTTACGACTTCTTATGAAATGCAACAGATTACCCTGGATCCAGGACTTTATCCCATCAAGTATCATACAGTACAACCAACACCTTATGCACTAAAGCCCCAATTTACAAAAATACCTCAACCACCTCACTATTATGTTGCACTTTTACACGTGAGTTGCCATTCTACTATTATTTTTTTTTGATAATTGCCACTCTACTAATATTTTCTATTTGGTAAAAGAAATTTGTATTTTCCAATTCCCTCTTTGAGCCACAATGCGAATGAATAACTAATGTCTTCAAGCTATGCAAAACTTTTAATTAGCATTCTAAACCATTGAACACTCTTCTCCCAAAACCAGGAAGTGTAACAACATCATATCTTCCAAAACAGTCTTTCACTGTCATCTCCACATCCAGCAGCTCCAATATTTGGGGGGGGGGGGGGGGGGGGGGGGGGGGTGGGCAAGTTAACTTCCCACACTAATCACCTCAACGAGACCGCACTATGATCCATTCAGTTTGGAACACCCCTACAACTAAAATTTAAAACACATTTCCTATAAAAACCTTAAACAATTTTACCTTAAGAGGAAATCCACAACCAAACCCCTCCCACCCCGTTAGAAAATAAATAATAATTAAAAATATTGACTGCTCTTTGGAAGACATTAAAATCCAAACTTTCAGGATGAGAGTTACCACTTCAGTGTCGGTTAAGTCATTTCTTCAGCTAAAATTTCTGGTCTTCCAAGAGACATTTGCAATAAGCTACAAGAAATATTTGGTCAATCAATAGTAGATATTCTTCCTCAAATTCACTTACAAACACACCCTACAGCTCAAACACAAAAACTAGCCTAAAGTTATTTTCATGGATGAGTTGTAACACTGAATAAACAAGCAGGAAATCAACTAGTCTAGTGACTAGTTTTTCCATAGAACCAAAACCCTATAAACTACTAGTCTAAACAAGGAAATGACAATCCAATACATAAAATTAAAACCCACAATAGAAATTGTAATACAATAGAAAAATAATTTTTACAGTTGAAATGACAAGACAATGCAATTTATAGAGTCTAAATATTAGGGGGTAAAAAAGATGTAATTTCTAACCATTGTTCTTTTGGTTTTAAATTCCCACCTGTACCATCACATCTTAGTTCCTCACAGGTCGAACAACCCTCCACAACTGCATCTAAGGCAGAGAACCCACCATCGACGACCCTCCACGCAGTTCTAACAGCTTCCAAGAAAGGCCAGGTGCTCAAAACCAAAGGGTATTGCCCTGAATTCTTGACCTCATGTCCTGAAACCTGATTAATGGTATAGAGAGAGTCAATCGAGTTGAACAAAAATTTGCGAAAAATGATGTTTGATCGATGAGAAAATGAGGGGAAGATATAAAATAATAATAATAATAATAAAATAAATAAATAATAATCAAACAATGAAGCATAGATGCTCGGATATCTATGAAATAAGACGTAAGAAAACTAAAAATTCAACAGTACCGAGTCTAATAAGACTGATTAACTCAAAATTTTAATTTTCTGGAAGAAAAGAAGAATAAAACATAAGAATTCCTAATCTGATGGAGAAACTGAGAGTGTCCAAAACCCAGAATGGAGAAAATAAAAAATTGAATAGAACAGAATAACCAGAAACCCAAAAAAAAACAACACGATGATTACATATATATATATATGTGTATATATATATATATAAAATACTACTCATATGTTTATCCATGTATTACCATGGACAGTAGTGTAAGGAGGAATAGATGAGTGATGGGAATGGTGTAGGTACCCGCCATTCGAGAAGCTGTTGACTTCTTCCGGTGAGATCGGATGATTTGTTGACTATTTATATAGAGAGGATAAGGACTAAAGTTACTGTCTGTCATGATCGCAAATGGTCACGGACAAATTAAGCTAAGCCATTTCTCATGTTTTTGCAACCCAACAAACATACCAAGCAAGTCACATAAAACCAGATCTGTCGACAGCGATGGTAGAAAAGCCAAAACGGAAAATTTTAAGTAATACATGTGAGAACGGAAGCAAGAGCTCGCCTAAAGTAGAGCATGAGAACAGGATCCGAGCGTGAGAGACCCTGTAACTTAGATTTAGCTTTCAAAATTTTTTTAAAAAAATTATATTTTCTATAAACTCTTCATAATTTTTATAAACCTCTCCTATAATTTGTTATAATTATATAAATCATCATCCTTCTTGTTATGAAAATTACTCGTAAAAATGAAAATATTGTGCACGGACGTAGTGTAACGGGGAGTTAAATGCGCTAACAGACTTGTCAAAATTACTAAAATACCCTCGCATTGCCATCTGAAATTACTAAAGTACCCATATGAAACTCTAGGCTCTCAGCCGACGTTTGCTTCAAGTATTAGCTACTCGGAGAAGATGGGGACCAGAGATTGAGATTGGGTGTATCTGTATGTGCATATATATATATATAGAGAGAGAGATTGAGATTATCAAAGATGGAGACGAAACTGTAAGCGCTGACCATGACAGCTGCCGTCGCTACGACGTTCTGCAAAAATGCACCGCCATCACCAAGCAAAGCTTCCTAGTGGTCCTAAAAGAAGGACGAATGGGGGCGACCAAGAAGGGTTCGACTTTAGCAAAGCCGCCTATCAATCCTCAGATCTTCGATGCTGCCGTCGATCTTTCGAGCAATACATAAATATCTATCTATATATATATATGTGATCTTTTTTAAAGAAATTTTATTGTATGGATTTCACATATCAGCTTAATTAGTTAAATCTTTTGAAATTTAAGTTCATCAGATTGAAGCACTATATATATATGATTTAATTTTTCTAAAACACAGTAATTTTTCTACATTTCATGGATGCTTAAAACAAGAAATTGCGAAGGATGCGTGAGGGGCGTGAAACTGTGGAGGAAACTCTACTAAAGTGGCAAAATTACAACCAACAGCTTGATTCTGCGGCAATGGGCTAGAAGAAGGGTGTATGCCTGATTTGTGATCATCAATCATCCCCCACAATATATATATATATATATTGAGCGTACCTGATTTGTGGTAATCAAAGCACATGCACTTGCACCTGGATTCTAATAAATTTTACTGGTGATAAATTACAATACTCAGTTTGATTTGATTTGCACAGGGAAAAAAACAGAGAGATGGAAAAATATTAGCAACTTAGTATACTATATGTTAACATGGTATTTGATAATCATCGTCTACAAACCAAACATACACTGAATTCTTAAACTTTTCATAAGCATGTTTAATGAAGCCCGAACTGTTGGATTGTTTGAGTACATATTTGATGAGTTATGTCTGCGAATCGTACCTGATCAAGTGATTCATCAATTGAACGTATGGCCTTGGGAGTAAACCTATTCAGATTTTATGAAAAGTAAGAAAAATGAAAGATGTAAGACAGAGGACTTGGGGCAAGTGGGTTGCTGAAATTCAAGGAGGCGTTTTGTAAAGCTGATCTGTGAGGTCGGAGTGGGTGGAGTAGGAGAGAGAAAAGGGATGCAGCGGCATCTCTCTCTCTAAATCACACTCTCTCTATGTGGTTTTAGTTAGATGTAGTACTTGGGTTTTGTTATTTTTAAACTTTAAATTTTTTGTATTGGCCAGAAAGGCAAATCGTGAGTGGAAGTTTTCTGGCGACTACAATTGGGAAAAGATCAACCTGAATACATGATTTCACCTCCGGCGTACAGTGATATCACACACACACACATAAATATCAACCGGCAGGGACAAGGGTATTATTAGAATTTTATTAAAATTTGTACATGGAGGGGTGGTCAATTTTTGTCATTGACTGTCGTTGACTGTAACAGAAGAGAGGCCTGTGTAGGATATTTTCAAAATGAGAAGAGATTCTAGTAATTTCTGAAATAGGAGGAAAGGTTCCTATAATTATGATAAATTATAGAAAAAGTTTGTGTAAATTACCCTTAAGAAAATAGTGATCAAGTTTTAAAAATAATAAATAAATAAAATTGTCAATGAATATGTCCATCTAATTTAAAATCCAAAATGTCATTACTTCTATCATCATGAGATATCCCCTCTCTCTTCTTCGTCTTCTCCAACCCCACATTAACATATAAGAAGGTTCAAAAGAAAAAATGAGTATTGTGATTCCACATTCCTTCTTGTCCAGTGCCTACTAATATTTCTTACCTTATGGTGATCAGTTTTGGATTGAAAAGTGAAACTATAGCACAAATATGAGACGAAATAGAATGATATATGTGTGGGTAGAGAGATAGAAAGGGAAAGGAGAGAAACAGTGATAAAGAGGTACTACTACCTTCTTGTTGTTGTGAGCCAGATTATATGTTCTTAATTGTTGGGGACATGGTTGTCCTTTAAAAGAAGGAGATGGAGATGTATAGTAACAACTGTTTCGGCAATGTAAACAGGTTTTAGTGTGTTAAATGTCTCAACGACCAGAATGTCGTTCACGAATTCACCGAAACCATTAACACTGAATTGACCCATCGAAAACCATACAAGCTTGCCTAGTCCCCCACTCAATTTAGGGATGGGGTTGGAGAAGGCGAAGAAGGGAAGAGAAAGAAGGGCATTTTGGACATTAAAATTAAATGATTGCTTATTGGCAATTAATTTTCAAATTTGGTGACAATTTACTTTAAAAAAAATGATATTTTTGACGACTTGCTCGTACGATAAAAACCGACTTCCACGAGGCAATTTGCTAGTCGCAGTACCAAGTCTCATGTAGGTATATTAAATGCAATATGTTTACTAAGTCTCATGTAGGTATATTAAATGCAATATGTTTTTTCAGTCAAAATACCCTTTCTTCTTAGTTTCCTTTGCTAGCTCCTCATTCTGTATATTTCTTCGCAGAGTACAAGTTAGTACATCTTTTTGCTTAAAATTCCTTCGTTTTATAAAATATATTTTCCATTAAAAGGCTTTGTTGCAGGGAATGAAATTTTTGTCTCTCTGTTATCTTCAACTACTGTTTTCACCCCCAAGAAAGAAAAAGATGAAGAAAAAAAGAAACTGGGTTGGCATATCTATTTCGTTTCTTAGTTTTCTTTTTCGTCATTTGCATTTTTTTTTTTATATCAAGAACAATAATTGAGAATTGAAGAACCTAAGGTTCATGGGTTAATGGGTCTCCATATATATATATATATATATAAACATTTGTATATATATATAGAGAGAGAGGGGGGATGAGAAGAGTGAAGTAATTGCATAAAGATGTTTGCAATCCATGACCTTATGGATCTCTCAGAGATTTTGAGATTCGACGCTTTCATCCATAAGCCTTCCGAAGTCCTGCTTCGAAGCCTCGTATTGCACCGATGATTTTTCGATTACACACCCAAGAAAAAAAATCTGCGTGCTCTCACACAAGTGCCTTTCCAATCGGAAGGAATCGGAGAGAGGCCGTCGTCGAAGAAGCTTGTCAGTTCCGGCCAGATTTAGGTGTCCAATGATCACGTAATCGCACTAATCGGCGTTAGGCCAGAGTTGAGGAAAGTGAGGAGTGAATGGTGCAATGACAAACACGATCTGGGAGGACAGAGAGGAACGACGGAGCTCCACCGCCTGAGTGGTGTCTGTGATTTGCAGAGAGTTAGGGGTGTGGGCGAAGACTAGAGAGGCGTGCTTATTTCTATAAAGGACTCCACTAGTTACAGCATGACACTTGGACAACAAGAGAAGTCGATAATTAGTCCATTTTTTTAGGTCAGGTAAAATAACATTGCTCTTTACTTTTTGTTGAATTGTAAGCTATTTTTTTCAATTTTGATTACTAAAATCTATTTTTCTCTACTTTTAAAGAATGGAGTACAGAACCAGAATTTAAATTTTAAGCCTAACGTATTAAATTACGTGTGTATCTATTTTATAATAAATAAATCTGTGTTTGCATCAATTTATATATTTTCGATTGGTTACCTAATTGGTACCCTAAGTATTATTGCTATCTCTTGATGACTAGGATACACGTATATGACTAACATTAAAAGCATTCGGTGTGCATGTTAAGAAAATGTAAAGCCATGTTAGGTTGATGTGGCTCTGAATTGTTTTTTTTATTATTTTATTATTTTTAAATATATTTATTAAAAAAATAATATATATTTTTCAATTATTTGTTTGTATTTTTAAATAAAATAAAATACTTATAAATGCAACATCACTGAAACACATGTGATTAACCTCTTTTTGCCATCTTTATACCCATTACAAATCCTCTTAAGCAAATCTACCATATGTCATTGGTACATTAGTACTTAAACATTCGTAATGCACGACTTTTTTTATATGTTTGTTTTCTTCCTAATATTTTTATTGCCAAATTGAATAAAAGTCGTGATTTATATACCTTAAGAGTGGTGGAGTTAAATAAAACATGACTATTTGTCTCTTAGAAAATTTATATAAAGTAATAAAAAAAATTACATATTTTTAACAAAAAATATAGATAGATATAGATATAAATTTTCACATAATAAATATACTTAACTCATATATCTTATGCCATTCTATATCAAGATTACTTGTGAGATCAAACTCCAAATTAAAAAATATATATGGTAACTAAAACTATAGTAAAGAACTTTTGAAAAACATCAAGTAAATAAATTAGAGAGTGATAAATGGGCAAAACTACCAATATGGGAATTATATTTTCTTTTACTTTTCATTCTTAATCACAAACAACTTCTTTTTTTTTGTTTACCGGATGGTATCTCTAAAAATCATTTACTTTTACTTATATATTCTACAAATACTTTTAGATTACTATCACAACATCCACACACACACATATAATTTGATAGTTGATAGTGTTGGAAACTAGTTCTGAAAACTAGTATTTCAAGTGTGAATAAAACTTGTCCGCAACTAATTTATAGTTGGGTGCATATATGTATCACATTATACTACAACATGAATATCTTAGCATAAATGTTGCATGCAAAGTCCAAAATTTAGATTATGTAACACAACCTCTGCCAATTCTTTAACATATTTTTAATGTTTAATGTGGTTGAGGATTGGTTATAAATGGTTAATAAACTGAAAGGTTGCATTGGATTGCAATACATGCGTGAATGGGTGTGTTGGTTGAAAAGGTATAATCGAACAAACATAACCTATTCAATATGAACCATTGCAACCTATTGGAGTGGATGTGTCTAATAGTGAACAGACACTATGTGAACCATTACAACCTATTGGAGTGGATGTGTCTGATGATGAACAGACACATATAAATGGTTATGTCCAATGATGAATAGACGCACCCAATCTGAAAAGGCATTTCTATGTCTATAAAGACCCCATTGGACTGCCATAATCTATACTTGAACCCAACCCAAGTGGGTTCAAGCCATAGGTTAAATAGTCTGAGCCAATTATACTATAATCTAATTTCACCGAGTCATATTAAAATTGGTCCAAACTATTTGGTTCGGATTGCACTCAATTTAGCATTTATATAATATAGATGCATTTTTTAGTTGGAGAGAGTATTACACAGAGGAGGTTCGCTGTATCCATGAGTTTGTAGTGCTGGTATTGGTGGATGTAGACTGTTGTATCCTAGGAGACAAGCGCCACAAAGTCTATCAACGTCATGCAGGGTGCAAATTGTCTTAAGGATATAATATCCAATACTAGTCTCGGTTTAGACTCTTTATTTATTGTTATTATTATTTTATTGCTTTAATTTTAATTAAATATCAAGTTGCATTTTTAATTAATTATTTCAAGTTGCATATTAAATATCAAGTTGTCTATTTAATTAAATATTTTTTAGCATATTATTAATTATCTCATGACATATTAGTATAAGGTTAGTTATATCTTAAATGTCATTTGAAGTATATATTTTCTGTGATACTCCTCGATTCTAGAGCCACGGGTGATCAAGTCCGAGCACAGATCCGAAGGATACCAAACAATTAATATTTAAAAAAGCAGGATTACAAAAAGAATTAAGAAATAAATAATAAAGGCTGAAAGAATTCTAAATATTAAATCCTCAAAAGTTATGAAACTAATATAGTCCAAACTTTCCCAAACTTCCAATATACGTATGTAATACCCCTAATTTTAAAAAGGATATTTAATTTTAAAAAGGATATTCCTGGTATTTAATGGTATTTAATTTATTATTTAAGTGCATTTTATTTGATTATGTGTCATTATTTTTTTTATTAGGTGCTTAATTATTTCTTTTATGGTGATTTAATTTATTTAAATGATATTTATTTTTAGTTATTTGATTGGAATTACTTGTTAGTGTTTTAATTATTTAATTGGCATTAATGGTTTAAGTGTAATTGGTTTAATTTTTCTATGTGTGTCTTATTTTATGTGTGTCTTATTTGGTTTAATTGGGTTTACTAATTATTATTTTATTCAATTAGATTATTTGTTAAGTATTTAATGGTGAATAGGGTAATTAGGTAAATACATCTAACTAGGGTTTTAATTACAGTATAAATTAGGGTTTTATATTATAGCCGTCGTAGG